GAACCAAACAGTAGATTCAGAGGCAGAATAAAAGTCTTTATCATCAGTCCAGAAATTCTTTGGGCAGAATAAACCATGATTAACTTGTACCAGAATGATGGGAATAGAAAAGTACAGAGGAGAAAGGGAACATTTCATGATCTGAAGCATACTGCATGTATGTCCAATACGACTTTATGGCATGGCATACAGCATGTATGGCTGTGGAACCGGATCACTATTGTTTTTTGATGATGTGACTGCTGATAGAAGTAGCAAAGAATGCTGAAGTGTGCAGGTGCTCAGATTCAGCCAAATACTGTAAAACTGATCAGAGCCTCACAGTCCAAGTGGAAAATGAACTAAAGCATACTGCAAAAAGAACTCAAGAGTCTTAGAAGGCAAAGAAATTGGATATTCTTCAATGGCTGGGTCAGTCACCTGATTTCAACAATACAGAGCATCCTTTTCCGTTACTGAAGATAAAACTGAATGGAGAGACCCAAACATAAGCAGCAACTGAAAGCGGCTGCATAAAGTCCTTACAGAGCATGTCAAGGGAGGAAATGCAGCATTTGATGATGTCTGCATCTCAATCACATCTTAATTCATTTAAAATTTACTGTGGTGATGTACAGGGACAAAATTACATGTATATATGCATCTAAATATTTATGGACCTAACTGTATATTGCTCCAGTGTCCTCAAAGAGGTCTCACACTAGCTGAAGTACATTCAGAATTCTTTCCAAAGGTGTTTCCAGGTTGTGTAATTTCCTAATGCTGCTTACATTTTCTCGCTCTCTCTGTCCTTGCAGTGGGGATGGAGGAGTTGCAGGTGATTAAAAAGGAGCTGACTCTGATAAAGACACAGATCGATGGGCTGCTTGACAGTCTTGACAGGATGGACACACAGAGGAATGACCACAAAGGTGGGACACTCATTCAGAAAGACAGTGGAGTCGGGTGGCTGTAAGATCGAATGATAGATAATCCATTTGCACATCAGAATCATTTTAAGGAGGACTCCGGCAATATGCCACGTTCAGATTCCTGCTTGATTAGCTCCTCCAGTCACAACCCCAATCAAAACGATTCAGGATCTGTACTGCAGGGAAACTGGGGGATGGGAATGCACTGCATGGATGGAGCCACTCTTATTTTACCTGACAAATCAATTATTTTCCCCCAGTCAGGATCTTTTAAAAAGTTGAATCCAGGCAGATATAGGCTGTCGGGGGAGAGGTGTATAGATTTATGGTTGGGATCAAATTATGGAACATGCTGAACAAACAGCGTGGTTGAAGTAACTGACTGATGAGACTTCTGCAAACGCAAATAATCAAGTACTGTGAACGGCAGCCGATCGCTACACACAGAATGAAGTGTTGTTGCTGCCCTCATGTGGACATCTCCAGGTCACTGCAGCTGGCTACGAAAAAACGTCTCGGGGAATAAAGGACAAAGCTCTATTGTCCTCCTTAAGGAAATTATTTTAGCCTCTGCCTTAATTAAACCGACCATAACTGAAACACTGAGTTTACACCACTCCCTCTCACTTGATGCAGTTCAACCTCCTCTGAGCTCCCAACCCCTCAGTCACTGCTACACTTAAATGTTGTTGAGTGAAGACAGTACTTTAACCTTGAAACCATTATCACAACATTCGACTAAAAAAACAGTCCTGGACAACCTTCATTTTACTATCTGTGGATTTGCACCTGCAAAAGTCTGTGTTAAAACTCTCCTGTCTACTTTGATTGACCTTGGCTGATAGATAGCTCTCATCTTTATATTAATTTATCTCCAGCTTTGCTTCATTCCCCTGTCCCTCACTGTCTAGCCTTGCCGTCTCTCATCTCCCTCTCGCTATCATCACATCTGTCCTCCATCTTGTCACTCCCACTCATTTTTCTACCTGTCATCTAGTATAAAATCAGAGAACACGAATTTTCTTCAATACGCTGTGCGAACAGCAATTAATCTCAAATAAAACTGCGAATGTCGTGTGTACATATGTTTATTCTTTTTCTTTTTTTTTCAGGGTCTCCACTGAGAGAGGATAGTCCAGTTGGCTCACCATATGCTGCATCACCCAGCAGCCCAGAGCACTCCCTTTCCTCCCTCTCCCCTCCTAGTTCCCGCCATCGAATTCACAAGGACAGCCCTGACCTGAGAGAGCCTGACGATGACCACCACACGGTAAATGATGTTTATGAAGCATATGCTAGTTTAAGGGGATACAGATGCTATGACCAAAAAAAGTTTAATATTTTGCCTGGAACATTATTTGGGTCTCTGTTAGGGCTACATTTTGTGAATATGGATGGGGAGTAATGTTGTATAATTGTTATTATTTTTTTAGAAAACATTGTTTTTACTTGAAAGTCATACAGGCATGAAGCCCACATATTTCAGTCTTATGAGTGGCTTGGACATTAAGCAAGACTTTGCTTCTTGAAATCAGCGTATACTGGCATAACAAAATTTTCCTGAGTCATTCTGAGCTGGCAGTTAATGAAACACCTTCTTTGTTTCCCTCCCACTGTCTGCCTGCCTGTTTGTCTGTCACAGATGAGCAACCACAGCTCTGACCCTGAGGAGGAAATATGAAGGAGGAATGTGAGAAAACGTAAAAGACATGGATAAGGTGCCAAACATGGAGGAAGAGAACCTGAGCCATCAGGCTAACACCCACATCAGAAGCTCAACATAGGGTGTACATATCAAATAACATGATGCATTTAATTGAATCACAGCAACTCGTTTAACGTGACCATGATCCAGATACAGATCAATTTTGAGAAGCAAGTACACATACATCCAACTGACCAGAACTTGACAGGCTTACCTAAGATAGTGACAGATAGACCGTGACCTTGCTGTAACAAATAAACAAAACAGAACGATGACTTTATAAATTTTACACGTCTACCTGAAATGAACCAGTTCTACTGTATGAGTGAGTTTGCACCAACAGCAACGCTCCAGCATGAATCTCAATGTTTCAGCAAAATAGATATGAATCATTAAATCATAATGACACAAACCTGCCAGTTTATTTTGCTCACGTCACAGGCGGTATAAAAGATGGACGTAGCTACCGTGATGTCTCACACTGGTTTCTGAAGTCCTGTTTTGAAGCCTAGAGATGAGCATTTGGCAAACTGGAGAGTGACGTCTCACTTGCTAATGAGCGTGCGATTTCGTACCACAGATAAGCCTCTATTTTGAAACACAGTATTACCCAGGTTTATAAAACAAACAAATTTCTTTTTTTAAATTCAGTGTGACCAAAAATGAGTGACAGAACCCATAAACTGAGCAGGAATGTGTTTACATGGGTCAAGTCAGAAAGTCATTTTCCCATGGACTTCTAAAGGACCTGAAGTCTTTGTGCAACCACACTGGTGTCTATCAGATAGTATGTAGGTTTTTAAGCACGTCCTCATTAGTTTAATTTTTCATTTCAGATTGTACTTTTTTACCATGCATGGGTCACTCTGGGTTTTTATTTCTTTGTTTTTATGAAAACAAATGACATAGATTAATGTCAGACTTTACACACATTAATCATTTATAGATACTGTTAATATGAGTGTTTCTACAGCTGGTTCATCATTTTGTTTGGGTTTTTTTCCTTTCCCCTGGAAACAGCAAAATCATTCAGTGTTACAAAATGTCTAAAGGCCTTAAGGACCTTGAAGTAAATCATGCACAAAACACATAGGACTAGATATTAATTAAGCATGGGTTTTTCTCAACCATGTAAACATGCCGCTATTTCCAAATTAACACTAGAACTGGAATATTGTGTGGACAGTATAATGAAAATGAACTCGGTGTTACTTCAAGTATTCTAAACTCTGCACACAGCTCTTTCATTTTTAAACCTTAACTCATATTTTCCAGATATCAGAATTTAGCTGGATAATCACTCAGGAGATAAATGGTTTGTTTTCCACCTGTAGGTATGAGTATGAATGATATACTATACCCATTAAGTATTTTCAGAAGGAAAGAGTATTTTATCTCCTTTAAGTGTATTAGAGTAATGTTATAACTCTCTTCCTCTATGTATTAGACACTTTAAGATGTGCGAAGACCCAGGTCAGTGTAATAATGTGTATTATTGTATACTTTACTGTAATTGTTTAGCCGTACAATTTTAATCTTGCTTTAGGACTTCTGTGTGTTTTTTAAAGAAAATAATGATATTATTATAATTCCTATGGTGTTACATGTTTTTGTTTGCATTCTTAAGATATTGCCAAGTGGAAATACTCATTGTCATTGTAGTAAAAGTATTTTCATATTGAGTATAAACATTATTTGTGGTGTTGTGTTTTTATTCTGAAAGACCGAGGCAAAAGCAGACATTTGATAAGACTTTCCAGCAGCCTGTGAATTTCTGCTGAGTCAGAAAACACTGAAACAAAAGATGACTCATTTTTTTATATATGTCAGAGTTTGAAAAACAAAAATCCACCTGCAGCCTTTCCATCAGCAGCTGTCTCTTTAGAAAGCTGGCTTAGCCTGTGAGAGATAATTAAGAGAGAAAGGGAAAGCTTTACTGAGCTGAGATACGGAGGCCACGTGGGGAAAATGGCCAGGTTTCAGTTTAATTTAGGCCATAGGTCACAAGGACCTGAAAGGGTACTAAAAACTAAGACATGTAAAAATCTTTTGCTCTCTTTTTCTCATCAGTAATAATATGAACGATTAATAAACAAACATGAGATGAAGACATGAAATGAAATGTAGCCAAATAGGACAGCCTGGTGATTTTTAGTGATTGATGATGCACATTAACCACATTGCCGTCTTGCGCTCTAATGTCAGCATGTACCTGATGATATAGTTTGATATGGAAGCATCAGAAAAAAAGAACAGCACTGCTAAAAAGTCACCATTATGAACTGTGAAGCAGAGCTCTGCTGTCAACAATAAAATCAACAAGCCTTTATATTTAACAACTCTGATGCTGAACTCCGGGAGCTGAATTTGAAGCTGGAGGTTAAGGTTGAGTGGTTCATATAAAATTATGTTGTGAATATTCTTTTGTGAAATTCAAGCAGGGGGAAGATGTGAGAATGCAACTTTGTTACTTTTAATGCCATTTACTGTGCTAATCTGCTCGGCCCCAGAGGAAGCAACTTTAATCATCCAAGTTCAAAGTGCTGAAAACGAAGTGTGACAAAAGGAGCTCTTGCATAACTAGCGTGCTGTTGACAAAAAGATAAGCACATGTGAACTGAATGTCATACTGAAGAGGACAGTGTTCAGAACTTTGTGGGGGTTTTGTAATAAAGATCTGAAGCTGTTACATATACACCATAAAATTACATTACTCAGTAAAAAGCTGCAAACCCAGAATTTTTATTCCTCAGTGCTCATGAGCGCTTCCAGGCTGCAGCAACTGAAGAGTCAGATTTTGCCTGATAATAAGGTAAGTGTAACATTTTAAGAAATACATGATAAAACTGAAGATTTGTGATTTTAAAATAAAGTGAAACAGCATTATATAGTCGATAGGTTGTTATGTACTATAACTTATGGCTGAGGTGACATTAGTTTTAGTTAACAGTTCAATATCAAATATAACAAAATATGCTATTTTTAATTATTGAACACAGTCTTGTGGCAAATTTAAACCAAGGGTTCTGCTGTGGTTGCTGTCTAAAATCTTTAAAGTGCCAAAGATAGTTTAACATTGCAAGAACTCACTGGTGCTTTAAGAAAACTACACCAGCACCAGTATCTCATTTGTAAGATGCAAATGTGTGGATATAGTTTCATCTTAATCTTACTATTTTAATGTGATTCCTCCATATTAAGCTGCTCTGTTTAAAGTCCTATGTCTTCGGTCTGTAGCTCACAGCAATGTCAGAATCACCTAGTCCTCTGACCACACATGTGCTGAACACTGCAATGGGTGTCCCCGGGTCAAATATGGCCCTCAGCCTTTATCAACAAGACCCCTCCACAAACACCTGGAATTTAATCACCACCGGGTAAGAACCTGGAAAAAAAAAGCATCACCAAGAAACCTATAATTAGTTGAAAATCTCAGACTGCTGTAAAAGTTGATGTCTTTGTGCAAAGCTCTTCGATCTTATGCTTTTTGAACAGGACCACTAATGATGATGGACGTTGCCCTGGACTTATCGCAAAACAATCATTTAAATCTGGTGTGTACAAAATGCATTTTGAGACGGCTCAGTATTGGGCGAGTATGGGAGAGACCTGCTTTTACCCGTATGTTGAGGTGAGGAAATGCTAAAACTGTTGATATCTCACGATTTACTTGTGGTGTCATCACAATTTTTGAGACTAAATCGGTAAATTTGTGTCCAATTTAAACCATTTGTATGGGCTTGAATATTAATCTTATCTCTGTAATCTTTCTGTTTTTCTTTTTTCTTCTTGAAGATTGTCTTCACCATAAATGACCCTGGGCAAAAGTACCATATCCCTCTGCTTCTGAGTCGTTTCTCTTACAGTACATACAGAGGGAGCTAGATATCAAGCAAGAGGAACCTCCTGAGATTACTCCACCTGTCAGCTGTTTGACACATCACATGATGGCACTGAATGAACTGTCACACATATTGGACATATTGACAAGGCACAATACTCCATTTCAATTATTCTTTTTGTTGTAATAGTGCCACAATACCATATTTTCTTTCTTTAAAAAAACAAATAAAAAACACTTATTAATATATGCTGTACTTTAGTCTACCATATCAACTATTGTAAGCTGTTATTTTAAGATGTGTAACGTCTAAACTATCAAATAATACATCTGTCTAAATCACCAGTTTCTGTATGTGATACTGTTACATCCTGGGATACTCCCAGGATGTAACAGATACAAATTGAAACATATTGATTGATCAATTGTGTTACATGTGCCCTGCCTTTAAAAAGACAGCAACCTTCAAGAAACCCCTCCAGGTCCTGTGAAACCTGAGAGTATATCATCACAAGAACCATACAAATCGCTGTAGGATAAAGTTAAGATTTTTCATATTTCCAGTTAGAGATCCTTCTTTCAGTATTACCCCTATGAGGTATAAGTAATTATTGGTGGTAACTTTGGCCACAGCGCTACCCTAACCTTATATTTTGGAGAAAAATCAAACGGACTTCCTGGGAAAAAATGTTATAATGATTGCCAAGACACTTTACCCTACCGCCTACTGGTGTTGGCCAGAGGGGCCGATGGCGCGATATGGCAGCCTCGCTCCTGTCAGTCTGCCCCAGGGCAGCTGTGGCTACAACCGTAGCTTGCCTCCACCAGTGTGTGAATGTGAGTGTGGATGAATAGTGGCATTGTAAAGCGCTTTGGGTGCCTTGAAAAGCGCTATATAATTTCCAACTATTATTATTATTATCAAGACTTGGGAGAATAAAATATATAACTTCAGAGGCATAATGATACAGTGCACGACTGAGTGATCCTGACTCTCTCATTGATTGATCGAGCCTGTCGGATCTGTTTTTCTGACGTCGATTATCCTTCCTTCAGTTAGGCTGGGCCTAGCCTGTGATAGCAGTTTAGTGGGAATTTTATTGCGATACACCATCCCAGTTTTGACTTTTAGGTCAATATTACGGTTATAAAAAATGGCAGACGAAGAATTAGAGGCGATTAGGCGGCAAAGAATGGCGGAGCTACAGGCAAAGCAAGGGGTAAGAACCGAATAGGCACCGGAAAGCATGGTTTCACCCGCCTTATATGGAGATGTTCAGTATACTGCTAGCTAGTGTAGCTAAAACAAAAACAAACCACCACTTAACTCTAACTTAAGGGATATACACAGCTAACTTAATGAGCCTCATGTTTGGTGCAGATGATATTTGCTTCCTCATCTAGATGTGTTAACATCACCATAGTGCTAGCTTTGTATCAGTCAGCGCTTACCCCTCTGAAAATCAAAGCGCTGGCTTGTTGGAACAAAATTGAACAAATTTTTAGACTTGCTACTGATGGAGTGGTCGTTATGCTTCCTCCTTTCTACAGATAATTTGTGTGTGTGTGTTTATCTAAACTTTGACATTAGCACAGCATGTGAGTAAGCGGCAGCAATTTCTGACGTGTTTGGTGAACTGTCAGTAGTCTAATACATTACCATATCGTTAGCTTCATAGCATAAGTGCCTAAGTCATTTTTTGGTCAAATTGAGATTTTTGCCTAACTTTACTCCCCTACCACTGCTGCATCATCCTGTCCGTCTGAAACACAAAACACAAAAAAATGACTTAGGCACTTATGCTATGAAGCTAACGATATGTCAGAAATAAGTATTTATACTAATTCACATGCAGTGCAGTGATTAGAGAGTCCTCACGTGTCTGGGTTTCTGTCATTGTTTTTGAAAATATTTGACACTCATAAATTTCTATTTTATGTCTTTTTGTGACCTCAAAAAATACAGTGATCAGTGGGTTTTAAATCTCATTGATGATATCCAACTTACCTCAAGAAGACTGTAATTGGAACTTTTCACTGAATGTGCCTATATATAAATCTGTCATATGAGTTTTGTTTGTTTGTTGACAGTAGTCTAACTTTATTTGGTACAAAATAGAGAACATACTGGACTTTAATTCATTGTCTAGAGGACATTATAGAGTACCTACCATTAGAAAATATCCAAAGCAACAAATTTACAAACTCTATTAAAGATAAGCCATTATGGTATACTTTGCTATACTGGTTTAAGAAAAATATAGAATTTTTAAAAACAAAACGAAGAAACTTGAAAACATAACCGAAGAGATTGCTCTCATGGTCCTTCTTGTATTGTCATACCTGAAAATAACAGCGAATAAGTTACTTTATCAAATTTTCACCATTACAAACATTAAAGTACTGTTTGATTGGTGGATGGAATAAAATAAAATGTCTACCAGTTAGCTGAATGTATAAATAAAATCTGTATTTAATGGTGCTGTCCTGTATACTTCCAGGAAGGTAATAATCAGCAAGCAGAGGAGGCCAAACAAAGGTACGATGTGTAATTGATCAAAAAAGAAACTACTTTAGCTGAATTTTTCCTGTTTATAGTACTTGTACTTGCATAAAGGACTGTTTTTTTTAAAGACTAACTGTTATATGCCTTACGTATTGCACTTTTTTTGTAACTGAACTAAAATATTTCCATACAGCAGAAATGTGTATATATAACTTCAGTTGAATATATTTTTTCCTATTTAACTCAGTCTTATTTATATAGTGCCAAATTACAACAACAGTCACCTCAAGGTGCTTAATATTGTAAGGTATAGACCCATTACATTAATACGGAGAAACCCCAACAATTAGATGAGCCGCTGTGAGCCAGCACTGAAAGTTTTTGACATATATGTAATATCTAAACTCTCAGTGTAGCTGACCAACCTGGTATTCTTACTGCTTAACTTCTATATAAATGCAGTATCTTTTTGTTTTCTTTTAGTTGGTCTCAGTTGACCAATGTAATTGTTTTCTAATTACAGAGAAACAGATATGAGGAACTCCATATTGGCTCAAGTTCTAGACCAGTCTGCGCGTGCGAGATGTAAGTGTGGTTTCATATACTGTATATCCTTCGTCCTAATAAAACTCCTCTTTGGAAATTAATAGTGCTGTCTCATTGTATTTTATTTTTTAGTGAGCAATCTTGCCTTGGTGAAGCCAGAAAAGGCAAATGCAGTTGAAAACTATCTCATTCAAATGGCTCGTTTTGGAAAGCTGGGAGGAAAGGTAAGAAAGTACAGACATGGGGAAAAAGTTTTCACAGCACTCTCTGCGATCCTATGAAAAACTAAATACACCCCACCATTCAGTATCTTGTAAAACCACCTTCAGCCAAGCTATAGTTGTCAGGTAGATTTAGCACTATAATATTTCCGTGTACAGTGGAGTTTGCAGTTAACTCAACTGCAAGGTGCCTGCATGGTGCCAGCAAAGTGCCAAACTTCTGCTTTCAGAGGTGGTCACACGACTGACGATCATTTAAGTCCATTTAAGCAGCAAGAGTGTATGTAGTTTTTCACTATGCATTCCTCTCAAAACTCTTTTTTTCCTCAAATGACTTTAACTTTGAATGCTTCTAGCAAAACATATTGAATAAACTCATTTCCACTTTTGTCAGATTACAGAATCAGGCTTGATCGAGATCCTAGAAAAAGTCAGTCAACAAACAGAAAAAAAGACAACCGTTACAGTAAGTTTCTCTGAAATGTCACATACATTTGATTTTTTTTCCTGTAATTTATATGTATTACATTTCTAATACACTCTACTTGACAGTTCAACAGACGGAGGGTGATGGACTCGGATGATGAGGACGACTATTAACTTTCAACAGGAGCTCTGGAATGAGCAACCAAATCAGAGCAGTTGACATGCTTTGCTGGGACTCTGACAGGATCGCTGACTAGTGTGTTCCTGTTAGCTGAACCCTGAGATGCCACACTAGCTTCTGTGTGTCTTTGGAAACTACCAACCAAGATGGAAAACAAGGACTTTGATATTGCAGCATTTGGTGGGATTGTTGAACACAATGTCAATTAACATTTTATTTTGTAAACTCTTCAATCTAGATGCTACAAATTTTTACTGCTTATCTGACAGCTCATGGCACTGTTTGACTCTCCTAGTCCATCTCAGTAGTTTCCTTTATTTTCACCACGGTTCATGCATTTTCTTCAAACATTAGAAACTAGTTAAAATGCAGATGATACTGATGTTAATGCATTTTATGTGGGTCTACTCTTTAATTGCCATCTAGGCTACTATCCCATTAGCTGTTATTCTAGGATTCTTGTTGCTGATGTGTACCTTGAGGGTTCACATATAATTAAATGAGCCTTAAATTGAAATGTTTTTCCTTATTAGTGGACTGTTTCTAAAATTGTCCTTCACCATTTAAATGAGTGTTAAATCTTTCTTTTTTTTTTAAGTTTCCATTTTGAATTAAACACAAATTGTATTCCACTGACTTGAACATCAAATATCACAACATCAATACACAGTAACGTCCCCACCATACAAAGGTAGACTGTCTGTCTATGGAGGTGGATAATTGACTCTGGACTTTTTGCTTTATAAATAAGTTCACATTTTGACATTCAATTCAGAAGCAGGAGTTAACAGACTGCCAAATGTATCCAACAACTTTTGAAATAAAATGCAAGATGAGGAAATGTGTTTTATATTAATATACTTTATTATCTCTATAAAAGTCTGTCCGAAATCACTGTAGTCAACATACTGACAGAACTGTTTTTATCGGGGTCAGTACCAATAATGATGTACAGTATAAGAAAGCATTTAATGTACCTCAGTTGTTCATTACATGTCAAATACAATAACTGAGTACCTTTTCAGCACTAAATCCTGCAGCTTATCTCTTATTCACAATAGTCATTTCCTGCCTGAGCACTTATTAAGATTTTTAATTCATATTGCGTTTATAATTCAAAATTGCGTTGACTTAAATAAACCCTAACACCGACGACAGGGGTCTGGGTTGGTCTTACGCTTGCCTCATTTTCACACGACCGTGGTCAGATGATTTCTCATTGGCTATTTAGAGTTCAGTACACTCAGCCGGACTCTGATTGGTGCTCGGGTTAGTCACATGTTCATCACTAACCAATCCGGTGAGTCTGCTAGGAAACGCTACAGTGAGGTGCAGGCAGCCACGCTGAGTGCTAAACTTGGGGAGAGGGTTGTACAGTGTGTTTTAAAAAACATTCAGGTAGTCTTTTTATTAGTGTATATGCAGAGCCATGCCGGAGGACAGAACTGAGCAGCCACATATAGTT